GAATCCCAAGCAAGTTCCCCACTGACCGTGCAGAGCCTGATGTGAGGCTCCAACTCACAAACTTCAAGATCATGACCTGAGCCGAAGTTGGGTGCCTAATTGACTGAGCCACCCAGGCGCCCACACAATATGTGGTCTTATGTCCTTGGCTTTTTTCACTTAATGTAATAGTTCCAAGGTTCGTCCATATTGTCTTTGTGTGACAGTACTTCACTCCTTTATAAGGCTGATATTTTACTAATGAAAAATAATGATATTAAATGAGATCATAATTGTAAATAATATAGACACACATATAGAAAAGCTGGAAATATATATTCTATAAATCTAGATAAATAATAGAATAATAATAACTAATAAAATAATTATCTTAAGAGGAAACTCTTTTATTACCCCTTCTCCTCTGCCTGTAACACTCTTCTCCCAAATATATCTGCATGAAGGACTCCCTCAAGCAGCTCGGAGGACGCATTTGCAAGGTCTCCCCTGACTAGATAGCATTATGACTGACGCCTCTGCAAACTCCTAGTCCCCCTTACCCTGCCCCACATTCTCTGTCTCCCATAGCACTTCTTACCTTCTGCCATGCTCTGTCATCCATTTCTTTTATTGCTTGTTATTTTTTTTTTTGCCTACCTCTCCTCCTAGGAGGGTATAGTTTCCACGAGGGCAGGGGGTTTGTTTGCTTGACTCACAGATGCATCCCCAGCCCTCCACCCAACAGTACTTGTCCACTGATGGACAAAATATCCACATCCTGATCTCTGGAGCCTGTGAAAGTTACCTACTAGGGCGCAAATGGAAGCTTTGCAGATGGGGGAGATCATCCCAGGATACCTGGGTGCACCCTAGATGTAATCCCAAGTGTCCTTATAAAAAGGAGATTTGGGTGCCTCTGAAGAAATCAATGTAACAACTGAAGCAAGATACTAGTCTGCTGTCTTTGAAGATTAAGGAGGGGGCCAGGAGCCAAGGAATGTAGTTTTAGAAGCTCACAGAAGGGAAGGAAGACTTCCCTAGAGCATTTTGAGGGGGCACAAGGCTGCTGACACCTTGATCTTTGTCCCATAAGACTCTTCAAAGCTCTGACTTCCGGGAACTGTAAGGGATAAATTTCTGTGCTTTTTAAGCCACTGACCTTGTGGTAGTTTGCTATCGTATCCACGGGAAACTATTGCAGTGCTTGATAAACAGTCGTTGAATGAATAAACACTTGTTGAGCCAGTGACTGAAGGAGACACCAGTATTGCTTATACTAAGTAGAAGGTAACAGCAAACAAAGGCAGTGTAAACACAATGGAGCCGCTAAAGTTGGGGCTGCAGGCTTTGAGGCAGCTCTCTCTCTCTGTTAAGCAAGAGAGCTTTGCATGTGCAGGAGAGCATTAGACACCCATGAGCACCAAACTGGGACTGGATGTCTTCGCACATTGGAACGTGGAGTGGTTTTTTTATTCCATTGGCCCATGATACTTTAACACTTCCATTTGGTGGTCAGGGGAGGGCAGTCACCGCCGACTTTACAGAGATGAGGATATCTGTGCTCCGTCTGGGAAGAGGAGTGGAGAGAGAGAGGGCAGCACGTGGCATAGCTATTGAATTTGTCTGCCAACCTAAAGTCAGCACCATAGGCTAAGTCCTGTGACTTGGGAAGTGTAGCCAAGGTGCTGGGGAACTGCCGGAGGCTTCTAATCAGGAAGTGCCTTTGTCCAGCCTGCCCTTTGGAGACATCCTCCTGGTTTAGCCTGGAACAGGGGTGGGAGGCAGAAGGTCTGGGAGACAGGGAGATCTGTGAGGGGGAAAGGGCCTTGTGCTCCAGGCTCCTTCTCCTTAATGTTTATTTTTGAGAGAGAGAGAGAGAGAGAGAGAGAGATAGCACGAGTGGAGAAGGGCCAGGGAGAGAGGGAGACACAGACTCTAAAACAGGCTCCAGGCTCTGAGAACAGAGCCTGACACGGGGCTCAAACCCACAAACTGTGAGATCATGACCCGAGCCGAAGTCGGATGCTTAACAGACTGAGCCACCTGGGAACCCGTGGTCTGAGCTCCTTTCCATCCTCCAGCTGTTTCCTTCTTTGATGTAATTGCTTGATGAAGACCACAGTGTCTGTGAGGCCCAGGCCTCTCTACTGAGTTTGCGACAGAGGTGGGGTCTTTTTCCACTCTCTACTTGGGGTGCAGGCTGCTGACTTTGAGGTGTCTCTGTCATCAGGGAGATGTTCTGTGGGCTGTGGGACACTTGACTCTGGAACTCCAGGGGCCCGGAAGGGAGGTCAGAAGAGCAGTGAGGGTGACAGTTTGAGAACAAGGGAAAATTAAGAACAAATACTCCTGTGACCTGCAAACGGAGTCATTTTCCCTTGGAGTCAATAACTCCTGGTCACTGTGGCTGCTCATCAAAGGGGTCTAGGAATGAAGGGGTTCTCCCCTCTCTCCTCCTCCGTCCTGGCATGAGAGGGCCCTTGGGCTGAGCAGGCTGGGCCAGAAGCCAGAGAGGACCGGCGGGGGCTTCCTTGGGGGCAAGGGGACTTGGCCTCTGGGGAAAAGCTTCCATCTGAAAGGCAGTGCACCCAGAGATGAGCACACAAGCTCTGGGGGCAGGCCCGGGCCTCTCAGTTACTAGTGATGGGGCCAGGAGCAGAACTCTGTGCCTCACTTTCCCTATTTGCAAGATTCCGTACTCTACATATGAAGTGCTTAGCAGAATTCCTGGCAAAGAATAGGTGATATTAGCCATTATTATGATTGTTATTGTTTTTATTGGCTCTGTACACTTTTCCTAAATGCCATCACTGTACTCAGCCCTGTCCCCATCCAGGGACAAGGAGATAAGGCATCCTGCCTTCAGAGGGTGCACTGTTTATTGAGAGATACAGACAGATCGATACAAATGGTATCAGGGGATGGAAATTCTACACTGGAGGGAGCTCTAACTTCCTGGGGGTGGGGGGACAGGGGAGGGTGTGGGAAGACCTTACATGAGTGGTGACATTTGTACCTTGCCCGGGAGAACGAGGAGAGGAAGAGAGAAGGCAGCCCTTGGCATTGCAGGCACATGAGCCCTGAGGTTGGTCGCCAGGCAGGAAGGAGACGGCTGGAGCCATAGGGTGCGAGCTATGCTCCCAGGGGGTGGGGAGAGGGGAGAAATGGGTGGCTGCTGACTCCACATGGTCTTGTCTTCACCTTTGGCAAAGCCAGCAGCAACTCCAGCCTCGCGGGGAGTCTTCTTGTCTGTGACATCATGCTGAGGCTGGTCAGTTCTAGGAATCTGAGGACAGGGCCCACACCCCTCCTGCCTTGGAGGAGGAGGAGGAGGAGGAAGCTGTCTCTGGGCAATGCCCGGGCAGCCGTGCACCACAAGGCACCTGTCAGCACTGGCTGCGGCCACCCCAGCCCAGCATGGACAGGAGCCAGGCTTGCACCCTCTGTAACCCGATGCTCACCTGCATCAGCCCTGGCTTCTGAGCCCACTCCTCAGGGGAGCTCCAGCCAGCCTGGGGTCACAGTGACCTCCTCCCTGCTGGCTGCCGTGTCTCCTTACAGCACCCCACCCAGAGAGGTTCAGCGGAACCACTGAATGGGGCAGAGAGGGCTATTGCAGCCACTGACCTGGAGTCAGGTTAGACTGGGAGTCCCTAGGACCCAGGGAGGGGCCCACAGCCCCTGCTCTCTCACCTCCACTAGCAACCGTCCTGGTGCTGGGCACAGTCCTGAAATGCAGGCCTCTCTGCACTCATGGATGAAGGACCTCCTTCTGCCCTGTAGCCGGATATTGAGCCTTCCCTCTTCCCACCTGAACTGACACGAGCCTCATGTTTAAAAGGCACAGGCGCTGGAGCACCTCGGCGGCTCAGTCGGTTAAATGTCCGACTTCGGCCCAGGTCATGATCTCACAGTTCGTGAGTTTGAGCCCCGTGTCGGGCTCTGTGCTGACAGTTCAGAGCCTGGAGCCTGCTTCGGATTCTGTGTCTCCCTGTCTCTCTGACCCTCCCCTGCTCACGCTCTCTCTCTCAAAAATAAATAAACATTAAAAAAAAAAAAAAAGGCATAGATTGGATGCAAAATGATGGAGTGATAAAGTGCACAAGTTCTGGAGTCATACTGCCTAGGTTCAAATCCCTGGCACGATTTGGCAACTTCGTAGCTATGTCACCTGTGATGAGTAATTTAGCCTTTCTTTGCCTCAGTTTCTTCATCCATACAATGGGATAATAGGACCTCCTGAATTTGCTAATCCAGGGATTGACAGATTTTTCTCTGTGAAGGGCCAGAGGATAAATATTTTACACTTTGTGAACCTAGGGTCTCTGTTGCAACTGCTCAACTCCGCTAGCTAGTGGCTGGCACAGACAATATGCAAATGCATGGGTGTGGCTGTGTTCCAATAAAACTTTATTTACGGACACGGAAAATGGGATCTTCTATCATTTTCATGAGTCACAAAACAGTCTTCTGATATTTTTAGCCACTTAAAAGTGAAATAAAAAAAAACATTCCTAGGTCATGAGCACACACAGGATTTGGCCTGCGGGTTATAGTTGCCCCATCTCTAAGTGCTTAGAACAGCGCCCAGCACACTGTTGCTGAGCTAACATTGAATTAAACACACCTACTGTGTGCTTAATCCGTGTTAGGTATTACCACGTTGGAAGGTGTGAGCGGTTGTCTGCTGTGGTTGGCTTGCTGGGGAGGAGCAGGCCTTGCGTGGGGGAGGGGGGCCTGTCTGGGAGGGAGAGATGCTGAGGTGAGTTACCAGATGATCCTTTATACCTTGGGCCACCACTGGACAGGGGTGTCCATCCAGCAAGGCCCTTGAACGAGCCTTTCTGTGCTTGGGTAAGGGGCCCAGGGCACTGGCTTGGCTCCCCAGAACATGGCCCCACCCCTGCCTCCTGTCACATCCCCAGACCTCCCCACCCCTGTTGCACCCTCCCCACTACACACTCCAAGGACCTTGGGCCAGCCCCCCTGCCTGAGGGCACAGAGAAGACCTTGCCCCAATGTCAACAACTAAGAACAGTTTATTCACAAACAGCACCAGCTCCAGGGCTGGTGCTTCCTCCTGTCTTTGGCACTAGGCAGTGGTTGTCTGGCCTTGATACCTAAGGGCACGTCCTTGGGCCCCAGCCCAGGCTGGGGGAGTGGGTGAAACCCTGGGCTTGGGGCTTCGGAGGAGTCTTTCTCTCTCAAGACCTGGTGAAAGTGCTGTCAGCCTTCACTTCTGGCTTTCGTCCGGGCGGGCGCCATCTCCTTGGCCCCCATCTCTCTCCGTAGCAGATGTGGGAGGGGTTTGGGCTGCCGGATCTTTCTCACCCTGGATGGCTGAGGGTTGCCGGGCAGGGCCCAAAGGGTCTCCTGCACACAACCAGGCCCCATGTTGTTGTTCAAAGCAGATTTTTAGTCAATGTCTCTGAAAAGCCTAGCCAGAGGGGGTGCCAAGGGTCCCCTCCGTGTGCAGGAGACACGGTCTGAGTTCTCAGACCGTGGCTGGGCTCCTAGCTACATCTCTCTTCCCCTCCCCGCCTCAGGACTCCGCCGGCATCTGGGTGTCTGTGAGCTGGTCAGAGAAGGCCCTCTCCAAACGCAGTGTGTTGTATGTGGGAGGCGGTGTGCCGGGCACCTCGGTGCCTGGGGCTGGAGGCAGGCGCAGCGCGGAGGTGAACGTGGGCAGGTCATCGTCTATATCGAGGCCCAGGTTATCCTGGCCCTGAGGGCCAGGGGGAGCGTGCCTCCGGGCCCACCATTCCTTAGCTTTATGCCACTGGCGGCGGGCAATGATGGAGAAAGAGTCAATAAAGAAGACCTCAATGATCTCAATGACACAGACGACGGAGCAGCTCATCCACAGGCCCAACTGGCCACCGAAGTTGGACAGAAGCATCTCGATCTGCGAGGGAGGTCAAGCCACACCATTAAGAGGGCCCCTCCACCCAAGTTGGCCTCATGCAGGGACCCCAGTTCCCAAGGGAGCCCCTGGCAAGTCCTGGCCCTGAATGGATTTGGAGGAAGAAGTGGGTAGGCTTCCTGTCCCCTCTTCCTCTGCCTTATCTGATTGATCCAAGTCCTGGCTGGCCTGTGGTGGCCCTGCCAGCTCCGGCTGTATCCCTAGCATCTAACTCTGCTCCCTGAGACAAGGGAGATGGGCACATTTGCAGACCCCAGGCAGGTCCCAGATAGAAGCCACTCACACTGTTGGCAGGGCTCTCCATGATGGATCTCTGGTTCAGGTCTTTGTAGAATATCAAGAGTTTGGCCAAGTCCGTCCTGGAGAAATTCCAACAGGCAGGGCCCAGGTGAGTCAGGTGCCTTTGCATCTACCAGATGACCAGCCCTTCAGTGTGGCTGTCTCCCTCCTTCCCAGACTCCAGCATGGCCCAGGCTCTGAGCTCCAGAGGAATCTTAGAACCTGGCTCCTGGGGCTCCTTCTGCACCCTAGAGCACATCTCCAGCCTGGGCCTGGTTGCTTAGGCCCTTCATTCACTCAAAAACCATTTCCCAACCAGCCTGAGTCAGTCCACCCAGCTGTATACTCCCATAGCACCCTGTTCTTCATCAAGCCCTGATATTGCGATTGTTTGATTGCAATCTCAAATATGTATAGGAGACATGCAAGTAATACAAATGAGCGAGGTAGGCTGGGCATAACGTAATAATGATAACGACCATAATAACAGCCAGCGTTTATTGGACACTTCCTGTGTTGCCAAGCACCGTTCCAAGTGCCTTATATGAATTAACTTGTTGAATGCTCGCGACAACCCTATGTCGTTATGTTTTAATTATCCCCATTTTACAGATGTGGAAACTAAGACACGGATTGGTTAACTAACTTGCCCAAGACCACACCACTCACAAATGGGCAGATCCAGTATTCAGAACTAGAGAAATCTGGCTTCAAAGTTCATGCTGTTAGCTGCTGCACAAAATTGCCTCCTGGTGGGACTATGGCAAGTGTGTCCACGCTTATTCCAAAGGGGCAGCTATGACTCAACTCTCTAGTTCTACACAGGTATGGAGGTTTGCGGTTTCTGGAACTTCTGATCTTTCAAGGAAAGCTGGAAGTAATGGGTTGCTTTCATGGGGCTATATTTGGTCTAGGGGTCACTGGCTTGCAATGCTTGCTTTCAGAGTTTGCAATTACTTGGTCAAAGTCGACCTTTACGACTAGACTGTCAGCACCTTGGGGACGGAGATCATGTCTGCTCGGTCATCATGATACCCCCAGCACCACATACAGCACCTGGTACCTAGTGGATATGCAATAAATGTTGGAGGCTCGACTAACCTCCACTGTGGAGATGGGAAGGGCCCAGAAAGAGGTGAGGTCGCATGGTAATTCCCCCATCCTCTCCCACCTTCATCTCCATCCCCTGAGGTCCCTGAACTCTGGCCCAGCTGATTTTTGCTAAAGCTCTCTTGGAAGTGAATGTTGATGTGGAAAATTTAAGCAGGATTTAGAAGCTTCATGGAGTATTTTCAGAGGAGTATTTTTCCAAGCAGGTCAAGATACGTCAGGAAGCCATGAAATAAATTTCCTAGGCCATGACCAAAACCCTTTGACAAAGGGAAACAGAATAGGAAATATCAGATTGCAGCCCCAGAGATGTTCAAACTCTTTGTCAACTGATATGGGCACTAATCACTGAGAATGGCGTCATGATTGTTGAAATGGATGTAAACAGTTGGTTTGGCTATACCAGTTTGCACAGTCTGAAAATCAGCCCGAATGCTTTGTACACCATTAGCGAGTGCTGTTACATGAGACTTTTATCTCATTTATCTATTCAATGGGCCACAATGGAAAACTATTTTCATAATGTGGGTCACAGCCAAAACATTTGAGAGCCCCAGGCCTAGAGTGGGATCTGGCTCCTGACATGAGCTTGATCAATATTTGCTCAATAAAGGAATGAGTGAATGAAAGAGAGAGGGTTTGGCAGTGAGGAAGCAAGTAAGGAGGCTGAGGCCCAGGGCCAGCGCAGGCAGAGGAAACAGGGTGGGGTCTGCTTACTTGTTGAGTTTTTTCTTTATTTGCTGGCCTTGGTCCCAAGTGAGAATAGGCAGCAACCATTTCTGTGATGGAGAAATAAGGAGTGACCTGGGGATGCCTGGAGAGGCCAGGGCCAGCCCTTATGCCTCCCCTCTTAGCCTCAGCCCCCCAACCTGGCCTTCCCTGTGGATCTCTCCTGAGTCCAGAGGACACAGGCAGGACATTGGGCTCCAGGATGAGAACGTGAGGGGAAAGATGGAGAAGATTAACTTACCTCAGAAACCTCGGATGGCCACTGTGCCAGACTGGTGGTCAGTGTCCACTCCTTAAAGCTAAGGGGAGAAGGGTACGGAGTGAGTATGGCTGGCCTGGCCCAGCCCCGCGGGCTCCATCCTTCCAGCCCACTCACCTGCAGGCTTCCCGGCATACCGACTGGCAGCCCAGCTCTTCCCGGACAAAGGCCTGGTGCAGCTGGTAGTAGCAATACACTGGGGGACAGGGCAGAGGGCAGTGTGAGCTGTGGGGCCATAGCGTCCTTCCTGGGAGTCACCAGTGGTGCCTCCCTGGGACCCCTTTTCACGATTTTGCTCCCATTTTCTAAAATTTCTTTTAATGTTTATTTTTGAGAGAGAAAGAGAGATAGAATGTGAGCAGGGGAGGGGCAGAGAGAGAGAGAGAGAGAGAGACAGAGAATCCGAAGCAGGCTCCAGGCTCTGAGCTGTCAGCACAGACCCTGACCTGAGTCTCGAACCCATGAACCTAAGCCGAAGTCGGACGCTTAACCAACAGAGCCAACCAGGTGCCCCTCTGCTCCCATTTACTACAAACACTGGTTTTCTAGAAACAAATGCTGCTTTGTCATATTGAGAGACAGAATACTGTGGAGGTTAAGGGCATATGTTGGGGGGGTCAGCAGCCCTTGCTTTGAGTCTAGCTCCATTACCCCCTGGCTGTGTGACCTTGGAGAAGTTGCTTAACCATACTGAGCCTCAGTTATCTGTTCTGTGAAAAGGTACCACCAATAGTTCCCATCTCCTGGAGTTGATAGAGGTGGCCAACATCTTAGCACAGGTTGGGGTGCAGCATTTGGTCCTAACTGGAAAGTCGAATTCAAGCCAGGCTTGGGGACAGGAGTAAAACTTTTGCCTAACATCTCTCTACCGATGGCTCCTTCCCGCAAAGCACAGGCTGGTGCTGGGGCTGGGCTGACTCCAGCCCCCGGGGGCGGGTCTCACTTACTCCAGTTGGGGTGCTGCTGGTAGTTGCAGTAGTTGGCTGCTGGAGGTAGCGGCTGGCTATACTGGGCGCACCCACATTTCTCCACCATCTTTGTCTGGAAGCATGAGTGAAGGCAGATCTGAAAAATGAAACCCAGGGATTCTCTTTAATCTCCTTGCACATGGATGCCAGAGAGCTCCCTCCCTACGCATCCCTCATCCAGAGGGTCAGCTTCCCACAGCCTTGGCAGATGGCATTAATGTGCCCCTCGTGACACAGTGGACTGGGCCAGGGCTGGCCTGACTCCAAAGGGACCAGGGTAGGGCAGTTATTTAGAATTCAGGTGAACTGAGATGGGGTGAACGGGGTGAGCTGGGGCTGTGGCTGGGCATGGACCCTTTCCAATCGCGTGAGTGGGGGACATTGAAATGGATGCCAAAAAACAGAGAAACACAGTCCCCAACTTTTCTGTTTTTGGGTCCCGTCCTTCCATGTTTGGGGGTTTTTGGGGATCGGAAGCTACCGCAGTATCCACAAAGCTTATAGCATAAAAGCTCATGGCAAAGGCTCCGAAGGCAGGCTGCTTCAGCTCAAATCCCACGTTTGCCATGTCCCAGCTGTGTGTATAAGGCATGCATTGCTTGTGTAAGGGAAGTTCCTTAACTTCTCTGATGTTCTGGTTTCTTCACTGTTGAGATAAGTAAAACAATACCTACTTCACGAGGTTGTTGTGAGCAGGAAATGAATGGGTGGCTATATGTAAAGGGTTTGCACATGGTAGCCTCTCACTAAATATTATCCAGGAGCATCATTCCAATGAGCTGAGCTGAACTTTCCTTTCCTTTCCTTTCCTTTCCTTTCCTTTCCTTTCCCTGTCTTACATTCAGTTTGACTGCATTTCTACTATAAGCAGACATTCTCCAACTAAAAGTCTCTTTCCACTTAGCGTCCTTACCACCTCTAAGCTCAGCTCTGATGTAAGCTAGAGGACTCGGTGCTCAGGAGCACCTGGTCTTCTTATTCTACTGGATTGATTTTCATGAACTCTGAGCATCCCAGTAGGAGAGGAACTACAGACTTCCAGAATGTAAGAAGGCATAACAGATGATCGCACTAGAGGGTTGAAAACTCAAATGCTCATGGGAGCTGCTGACACGAGTAATACACTAGAGGCTGGTGGGGACCATGGGGAATGAAAACACATGCCTTCTTTAACGGGGCCACTCCACCCACTGTTTACATTTCGGGAATATGGGCCCAAAGTGGCCAGATCTTGTTTTTCAAGAGAAGCTGGAAATCTGGGTTTTCTTATGAAATTCCCTGGCTTCTAAACACCATCCAGGCTGGAAAAACTAGGTGTGCAGCCTGGAAGGGGCCTGGGGGCTGCCATTTAGGAGCCCCTGATCCAATCCAACCTCCCCTTGTGATTGCTGAGGATGGCAACCCTTGTCCAAGGGCATCAGCGAGTGAAGGGCATGAGTGGGCTCATAGGCTAGGCTCCTGACTCCTCAGCCAGTGCCTCTCCCAGACTGTTTCTCTCCTGCCCCTCACTTGCCAAGGTCTATTTAGGAAGCAGGCCTGTCTCATCTGTACATTGTGTTCCAGGCAAACCTCAAGCAATCAGTTCAGCTCTGGTTACAGATGGATTGAAGAGGACTAGAACCAGCTGGCATCGTTTGTTCTTGAGATCTTTGGATGAACCCCAGGAATTATCACTACAGTTCCTGGTCTGAGACACACCCGGTTATATATAACTGTCTCCTATGTCCAGGCCACAGCCCGGGGCTGAGCGGCCTCTCCTGCCCGTACCTGGAGGGAGTATGCAGCATTGTAGATATTACTGATCGGCACGTCACTCCCGTCCTCTGTGCACTGGCTGTAGGGTTCACTCAGCTTGAAGGACTCCGTCTGTAATCACAACAGCACACATTCAGCCCTACCCTGCCCCAGGACCCAGACAGGCTGAGCGTGCATGTAGTCATTCATTTAGTAAATATTTATTAAGCACCCACTAGGTGCCTGGTGCTTTTCTAGGCACTGTGGGCTCAACAATGATAAAAGTAGACACACTCCCTGCTCTTATGGAGCTTACTTCCTAGTGGGGTAGATAGATGGTCAAAAGGAATAAATGCATAAGATAACTTTGGATGATTGTGGCTAGTGATCAGTGAAACTGGGAAGAGAGATTGGAGGGCTTGGGGAGGAAGGGTACAGTGTTTCCAGGAACGATTGGGAAGATGTCTTTTTTTTTTTTTTAATTTTTTTTTCAACGTTTATTTTATTTTTGGGACAGACAGAGACAGAGCATGAACGGGGGAGGGGCAGAGAGAGAGGGAGACACAGAATCGGAAACAGGCTCCAGGCTCTGAGCCATCAGCCCAGAGCCCGACGCGGGGCTCGAACTCACGGACCGCGAGATCACGAGATCCCGCGAGATCACGAGATCGTGACCTGGCTGAAGTCGGACGCTTAACCGACTGCGCCACCCAGGCGCCCCTGGGAAGATGTCTTTGAGAAAGGGACCTGTTGGCTCAACAAGGAATGGCAAGAAAGAGCTGGATTTGCTACGAAGTGGGAGACGGGGTTAAGGCAGAAGAAGCAGCGAAGGCTGATGGGGGACAGGGCCGGGGTGGCTGGAATGTAGCACAAGAAAGGTGAAACCAGAGAAAGGCCAAGGCCAAATCATGGCAGCCTCCTATGCCATGCTGGGAAATCTGGATTTGGTTTTCAAAATGATAGTAAGCCAATGGAGAATCCAGGGAGTGGGCAGGAGGAGCAGGGCAAAAAAAAAAAAAAAAAAAAAAAAAAAAAAAAAACAAGCAGTGACTGTGTGCTACATGGGATTCTCCTCCCAGTGAAAGACCCATTTCCTACCCACTTGTCTTCTGGTCCCAGAAGCTGACTTGAAAAAATTGAGTTTCTTAGAGAGGGCCAAGGAATGCCCAAGAGAGTAGAATGATACCATGGTCCAAGGAAGTAAGAGAATTGTGACTCACAGCTCAAATACCTTATTAAATTAGGTTTTCTTGTGGTGTACTAAGTTTGGCTCTAGCTTAATATTTGTCACTGCAAATAAACAATCCAGGCAAGCCAATTAAAAAACAAAAAAAGGATAATGTCTCTCCCAAGGGGGAATGATAATTAAATATAAATTGTGACCAGCTTATAGCCAGGTTCCTTGTCTGTCTGTTTTCTGGGAGTGGGAAAAAAGGGGAAATGGATGGCAGATTTGTGAGAGGGTAAAAGAAATCTTTTTTCTTTTAAGTGTGGCCAGACAGAAAGATAACTGGGGGGTGGAGTAGGGAAGAATCAAGAAGTTTGACACAGGTAGAAAACACAGACATTGCAAGTGGCTGTCATCTCTTTGTTTGTATTGTAATCCATCTGCTTGCTGACCATTACTCTCCCTCAATTAGCTACAGGTACCTCAAGGGCAATTAACAATACGCATTTTAAAACATTTAAACAACAGAAGCAAAGGGGAAAGTAACAGGCTGGTCTCCTCTCTTCCCTAGGAGAGGAGCAGAGCTAATCTCAGATATACAGACAGGCGGACAGGCAGACATGCACTCACACGTTCCCTTTGCCCTGCAATCTCCCCTTCTCACTAAGGATAAAGTGTGGGCCTCTTTCCGTGTCAGTACAGAATAAATAGACGTACTTCATTCCTCCAAATAGCTGGGTGGCTAACAGATCCAGAGCCTCTAGAACATGCCAGGGCTGGCTGGGCCCTGGGGTACAGAGATGCTGACAGTGGCTTCCCTTGAGGGCAGCTTAACTCCATGCCAACCCCCTGAGCTTCTGGAAGTAGCAGGCTTCCTAGGCAGATGTTTCTTCAAGCCCCTGGGTCATGCTGAGCTGTCCACAGAGCCCAGCGTGGCAGCTATAGGTTCTACCTGCCTGGGGAGTTGGGGGGGTTGAGCACCCCGTCATCTAGGTGACAGGATCTGTCTACTTGAGTAAGCTATGAGCAGCTGGCAAAAGTGGCTGGGGCTCACATTAAAAAATTTTTAAAAAAATAAGTAAAAGGGCGCCTGGGTGGCTCAGTTGGTTGAGCATCTGACATGGTATCAGGTCATGACCTCACCACTCCTGAGTTCGAGCCGGGCTCTGTGCTGACAGGTCAGCACGGAGACTGGAGCCTGCTTCAGATTCTGTGTCTCCCTCCCCCCCCCCCCACTTATGCTCTTTCTCTCTCTCAAAAGTAAATAAACATTAAAAAAATAAAAAATAATAACAGTGGATGGGGCTCCTTTTACTTTGAGGACCAGCCCATGGGTCACTTCCAGAAAGCTGATTGAGAGAAATTGTCTTTTGAATTTTCATGCTTTTGAGTCCTCAGAGTCCTTGTACTCGGTAATGATGCTTATTGAACTCAGAGCCCCTGGGTTATTTAGATTGCTTCCTAAAGCAACAGGGGAGTGGGGGAGTAGGGAGGTAGGGCAGATGGGGCCAGCACTCCAGTGCTCACTCTTTTGCTCTCTTGCTCTCCCTCCCTCCCTTTCTCTCTCCCCTCCACCATCAGCTTTTCAGAACTGATCTGTCCCTAACCTCTAGAGACACAAAAATGAGAATGGGTAGATATGTATGTGAATGCAAGCTTTGTGTATACAAGTGTGAGTAGGCACACATGTCAGTGCATACATGTATACAGGTCGAGATGTGTGTATTGCGTGCATGCATGGGTATATGTAGGCGTGATTAAGTGTATGTGAGTATATGTGTGGGCAACAGGGCCCATTTTTATCAAACCAGATCTTATCTGCTTCCTTCATAGAAGCCTGGGGTGGGGGGGCCGGCATCTTCAGAGGAGTCCTCAGCTCACCTCTTTAAAGGTATGAACTGTGCCGCAGAATAGCCCAGGTGGCAGTATGATACCCTAGATGGAATTAAGGGTGGTTTAACTTTCTTTTTGCTTTTGTTCTGTTTTTACACTGTAATATATTCTAAAATTTATTTGTGTATGGCAAAGTTTATACTTTTAATCAATTGAGAAAAAATAATTACTCAATATATGAAGTTAGGACTACTGTTATCTCTTTGGAGGAAGCAGTGAATTCTATCTCTACTTTACATCCTGCAGAAAAAACATTCTAGTGGGTTAAAGTATCAAATGAAATAATAAAATAACTAGAAGGTAACTCAGTATTTGATCTCAGGGAGGGAAAATCCTCAATAAACATAATGACTAAAGAAGAAAACAAAGATTTTGAATATCTAAACATTTGATGTGTTTGCATATGAAACAGTAGATAAAGAAAACTAAAAGGCAAGCACAAACCAGGAAAGATATTTCCAACACAAGTGGCAAATAACTACTACTCTTTCTATATAGATGGAAGAGATCAACATCTCATAAAGGAGGAAAGTGTCACTAAAGACAAGAAAAAACTTTCTAACTTCTCTTTTTGCTCCAAACTTATTTTCCCTTCACTTCATATCTCTTTTCTTAAAAAAAAAAAAGTACAGTAATAGCTGACATTTTTAGAGCACTTCTTACATATGAAGCACTGTTTCAAGTGTTTCACATGAATCAACTTGCTGAATTCTCACCGGCCTATAAAGTAACAATATTATCATCATCCCCATTTCACAGATGAGGTAACTGAGACATGGAGATTATGCAACCAAAGTGCAAAGTGGGGGTAGGGGCAGAGAGAGAGGGAGAGATTGAGAATCCCAAACAGCCTCCAAAATGTCAGCCCAGAGTCTGACGCAGGGCTTAAAGTCACAAACCGTGAGATCATGACCTGAGCTGAAATCAAGAGTCAGACGCTTACCTGACTGAGCCACCCAGGCTCCTAGCAAAGCCTGGCACTTAATCCCTGTTACACATATGCTTGTGAAAAGAAATGTGCATGTGTTTTAAGATAAAAATGCACAGTAGGGTTTGCAATGACAGTGAAGTCTCCCCTCTCTCCAGGACCTGGCTCCACACCACCCCGGGTGAGTTGTCTACCCTTGCCCACTTCCTCATCTCCCATTCATGATCCAGCTCATTGTGCTCTGGTTTCTGTTCCACTCCTTCCGCTGAAAACTGCTCTGGCAAAGAATGCCCGTGATCTCTTGGTTGCCAAACCCCGAGAGCACCTTTTGCCCTTTATCTTGATTGACCTCTCAACTGTATTTGGTGCTTTGGCTCACATGTTCCTTGAAACTCTCTTCTTTGATTTATCTGACACCAGCTCTTTCTGGCTTCTGTTCCTCATTCTCTGCCTCTATTTCTCCAGTTTTGTTCTGCTCAGCCCTTAAACATTTCCATTTTGTTAGGTCTTGGTGATGGCATTTATTTCCCAGGATGGAATTATGCTAGATGCCCACCCCACCCCTCACCTCAGTTTTTCTCCTGAGCTCCAGGCTCATAGCATCTGTGGACATTTTCACCTTGATTTCCCAGAGGCACAGCAACTTGGGTATATCCCAAACCGAAGTGGTCATCTTCCCCACAAGCTTATCCCTCTTGTATTCCCTAATCCTGAGCCTGGCACCTCCAACCACCCCACTGCCTAAGCCAAAACCTAAATATCAATCTAACTTTCCCCTGTCCTTTCCTCACTGACCTTGGTTGTCAAGCCCTGTTACTTCCATGCTTTAGTATCTCAAATCTATTCACTTATGCTCATCCCCACAGCCATTGCTTCAGCTAAGGTCCTCATCATTTCTTTCTGGAATTATTGTAAATGTGCTGCTTCCGGTATCTTGATTACTTCATCTCGATTACACTTTAGCCAAAGAGACTTCTCAAAAAGTTTCACTACTCAGCTTAAAATCCTTCCTGTGATCCCTTTGCAATTGCTTTGCCTTTTGTTTGGGCTAGCCCTTCCAGAAACTATTTCCCTGACATTTGTCCTTCAAGAATCCATCAGCTAGGAAGCTTTAACCAACAGCTGCTGTCTGGGCTCCCATTCATCTGTACATCCATCCATACATACATCTATCCACCCAACATTTTTTTTTTTAAATCTTTATTTATTTTTGGGAGAGAGAGAGAGAGAGCAGGGGAGGGGCAGACAGAGAGGGAAACACAGAATCTGAAGCAGGCTCCAGGCTCTGAGATCTCAACATAGAGCCCGATGTGGAGCTTGAACCCATGAACCATGAGATCATGACCTGAGCCAAAGTCGGACGCTTAACCGCCTGAGCCACCCAGGTGCCCCTCTACCCAACATTATTTACTGAGTATCTAGGTTCTAAGAACTGGGTCTGGTAACAAGACAGAGAATGTCTCTGTTCCTACGGAGCTGGGAACTGTATTGCAGAGCTGTGTTGTCTTAAAGGTAAGATATTTTGAAGGTAGATACTCTGTTGTATTCACTTCTGAATTTCCAGTACTTTGGACACACAGCCCTTCAATGAATGGAGGAAAAATTTTTAACCAACTGCCTAACCAACTGACTGAGTCTACCAGCTTAACATGCCTATCCAACAAAATAAACAAACAAATAAGAAAGGAAGGAAGTCTAGTTTGTTTGGACTTATTCTTAGTAACCCCCTGCTGACCTCTTAATAATCCCTAAGATCACTTTTTGTTGTTCCAAATGCTCATTAATCAGCAAGAGAGCTGACTGACCTTGCTTTGTGGCTTTGATTTTATACATCTCAAATTAGGTGTAGCAGAAAACCCACCCATGTCTTTGTTTACCCACCATTGTTAAAGAAAACATTTGTTTAACAAGGTGGTGGGTATTTCTAAGCTCAGAGAAGAAAATCAGAGGGCAGGGGTGCCTGGTGGCTCAGTTGGTTAAGCGTCCAACTCTTGATTTCAGCTCAGGTCATGGTTTATGAGTTCAAGCCCTGTATGGTTTGTGAGTTCAAGCCTCTTATCAGGCTCTGCGCTGACAGTGTGGAGCCCACTTGGGATTCTCTCTCCCTCCCTCTCTCTCTACCCCTCCCCTGCTTGTGCTCTCTTTCTCTCAAAATACATAAATAAACTTAAAAAAGAATATATAGGGGCGCCTGGGTGGCGCAGTCGGTTAAGCGTCCGACTTCAGCCAGGTCACGATCTCGCGGTCCGTGAGTTCGAGCCCCGCGTCGGACTCTGGGCTGATGGCTCAGGGCCTGGAGGCTGTTTCCGATTCTGTGTCTCCCTCTCTCTCTGCCCCTCCCCCATTCATGCTCTGTCTCTCTCTGTCCCAAAAATAAATAAACGTTGAAAAAAAATTTTTTTTAAAAAAAGAATATATATATATTTATATGTTACTATATATGTAAAGAAAATCAGAGGGCAGAATTCCTTAGTTCTTGTACTTTTTCAAGCTCTCAATCCTCTCCTCCAAGTCTGCAGACACTGTGAGGGGCAGAAAGGAAGAATGGGGCAAAAGGATAGTTAATAAACATGTGTTAATGGATAGGACGTACTGAAAATCCCAAGTCCTTATTCAGGATGCAGATAAGCATGGGAAATATTAGATGAAAATGTTGACTATTCTGATTAGGGGGTTTTGCAATCCCAGTAAATAGAGGAATCAATGACCCAGACCCTTAAGGGATACCCTAAAGTCTTTTCAAGCCACAGTGTCATAGATTGCGCTCAAGATTATTTGGGGGGTAGGGGAGAGACAATCAGTATTCACACAGTCTGAGTTGGTACTCAACACTCCTCATGTTGAAACAAACTTCTCACATTGGAACAAAGCCCCCAAACAACATGGCTCCCGAGAGCACTCAGGTTCTAGGAAACCATCCTGATGGTTTTTGATTTTTGGTTTTTTTCCCCCAGGATTGTCCCTTTGATGGGACACTGAAGCCACAGATTTCATCTGGAATATCACCATGCCAGTTCATAATCTCAGCTGTCTCAGCTTAAATATTGCTTTCTCAAGAAATCACCCCTGGAACTCCCCATTTCCCTCATTAAAAAAAAGCTTTAGGTCAGCCATCTCCCTGATATGTTCTCATGCATCCTGCATTTCTCCTTGTTAGTACTGATGATTACAATTAACCACTTTTCCAATTTTTTTCTGTTATTGGTCCTCTCTGCTGGACTCTAAGCTCTAACAGGATAGCGACCATGTCTTCCACTCTGATGTGGTCCCTGTGTCCAGCACATAATGGCATGCAGAAAATAGCCTGCTGAATGGACAAGTAATGGATGGATATACAAGCCCCAGTGCTCACTATGTCACTTTATAACCCAGGACAAAGCCATCATTTATGGCTGTGCTAAAGCTTTTGTCATTCTAGCTTCACTCTCGCTTAGGAAGAGACACTTCGCTTCTCCTCTCATGTTGAACTACTCAACTTTCTAAAGCTGAGGTTCCTGAGTTTGCTGCCTCTTGGAATAATCACTGGAGTTTGGTAAACACACAGATCTTGGGCTCATCTCCCAGAGATTCTGAATCAGTGGATCTGAGTCTGTTGATCAGTCAGGTTTGGAAACCACTGCTCTGGAGGACAGGTTTACGAGGAATGGAGACAAAAGGTGGAGAGCTTACTGGCATAACAAGACCCCAGCCCTGCAAACAAGAAAACTGCATAAGTAGTGGAGTGGTTGCAGGCATTGGCGCACACTCCTTGCCTTGCCCTTCTGCTCCCATTGGGCATGGTTGACTTGGGCATTGGAGTCTGCAGCCCAGATATGTTTCTGTTGACAGGTATGAGTGTTCTTGGCAGCCAGTGAGGTCAGAGAGTGTCAAAGACTTGAGGAAGAAGGGGGTTCTTGGTAAATAAAGTGAAATTGATGGCTAAATATTGGCTAAATAGAGCTTTGATGGCCCAGTGACTTCCCATTAGTCCTTAAGGAGTGGTTTACATGCCTCATAGACCTTTAAGTGGCCCAGAAAGAAAGGTGTTAATCTGCTCTATTTATATTAGTGACAAACATAGTTAGTGTCTGATGCTTTGCTTCCAACACAGTTCTTGTAAACAAATGCTAGTGTCTGTTTTTGCAATAAGGAAGGTTCCTTCAACTCTTTCCGAAAATGGCATCCTGTGTCCTTTTTCATCAATATAGAAGATACAAAGATAGCCTATAGTATTAACTACTGGAATGATCTTTGCAGGAACTGTTAGAAAATCAAGACTTTGCTTTCTCTTGAAACCAGCATGCTGTTCCACAAGCCGCACCTTATTGGTTTTCTTTGGGGAAAAAAAAGAAGTCTGTTCTCCTCGACTCCCCTATAGAAATCAGAATGTTCTCTTACCAGATGCATGCCTATGGAGGTGGCCATTGCCGTCTCGATCTCTGTTCCTATGTCCTCAATGAAGGGATATTCATCCTGCCGGTGCACAATCACCTTAGCCCCAGTGGAGGACACCAGGAAGGGATTGTATTCCTCTTCGTTGATGTACAAGATCACCTGCAGCCCTGAGAGGAGAAGAGGCTGCTGTGGTCAAAGGCTAGTTCAACATTACCTGGTGGTAGCCTACCTCTCCCGCTGCTTTGGGAGTCTCAAAACCAAAATGCAGGTATTTCCAACAAAGTGAAAGGTGTACAGGGCTAGACTGGAAGCTTCGTGGAGAAGACTGACTTGCTCACTGCTGTGTCCCCCAAAAACAGTGTCACTGCCGCAGTTCTGCTGAGCAATAAAGGAACTACTCCTGGGTCCAAAAACATGCATCTCGACATGGTCCTTTGAGATGAGGGGTTTGGCAGAGCACCCAAATGGACATGCAGTGCTGTGGCTGCTTAAGCCCTTAGAGAAAAGCACTAACGGTGTCTGATCCCTGGCTTAACTCCTCTCCATACTTCACCTCCTACCCTGGCAGGCAATTCTGTACCCAGCAGCCAGAGGGATCTTTTAGAATTGTAAATCAGATCACTCCCTTGCATGAAACCCTTCAGTGGCATCTCACTGGATACATAGGAAATGCCATAGAATAAAATCTGTAAACTTGACTGTGGCTGTCATGTCTATGATGATGCAGCCCTGCCTGTGTTTCCCTCCTCAGCCCCCTCTCTGCTCTCTCAAGAAGCTCCAAGTACACTGGACTTCTTTCTGTTTCTAGAGCACATCAAATTCATTTCCTTCGCAGGGTTTTTGTACTTGATAACGCCCCAAATGCTCTTCTGTGGACCTTAATATGATAAGGATCTTCTCACCCCTAACTAACTCTTCCCATGGATGCCTTTCTGGCCCCTTATTTGAAATAAAACCCCCATCCTGACCCCAGCACCCCCTTACCCTTCACTACTTTATTTTCCTCATAGTCCTCATTAGGATTTATAATCAGATAATGTCCATGCGCTTGTTCATTCATTTATTGTCTGTCTCTCCCCACTATCATTCAAGCTCCCTGGAAGCAGAGAGGGCATCTGTTCACCCTAGTGTCTCTGACACGTGGAAGAGAACGTGGCATACAGCAGGCACTCAATAAATGTTTGGTGAAAGAGCAAATGAGCTCGTGGCCTGTATGGATTGATGGAAGAAAACTTGGAGAGTTCATTCTGACTTCTTCCATTTGTAAATAAAGGAATGGAAGCCCAGAGCAGGCAAGGATTTGCTCAAGGTCACACAGCACATGCTCAGCAGAGCCTGGACTCTGCAGCTCTTTGCTCCCAGGTCCCAGACTACTTCTTTCCACTGAAGTACGTGCCCTGGATTATGGTTTCTTGCAGACTTGGTAAGAGTACAGACTACACAGTAGCAAAGGCTGGGAGTCCATATGGGGTTCTCCTGCCTTTCCTTGTGGGAGCATATTTGTATATCAACTCATGTTCAGTTCACTTAGGACTTTGCCAGGCCCATCTGTTTCCTGCCTTCGCTACACAAGTCACTGTAGTAAGAGCAGTGGTAATAGTACTGGAGGTCATAACGGTTCTATTGGTGGTGGTGGGAGTAGTAATGGTACCAATAGTAGTAATGATAACACACAACCAGCAGTTATTGTATGTTTCATGTGTGTTAAATGCTGAATTGTATTCCCCTTCTAATCCATATGTTGAAATCCTACCCCATAATGTGACAGTAATGGAGATAGGGCCTTTAGAGAGCTAATAAAGGTTAAATGAGGTCATAAGGAGGGCCCCGATCCCATAAGGCTGGTGTCCTTACAAGAGGAGGAGATACCAGACCTCCGTCTCTCTCTCTCTCTCTCTCTCTCTCTCTCTCTCTCTCTCTCTCTCTCCTTTTCTCTCTCTCTGCCACAGAGAAAAGGTCAGGTGAGGACACAGCAGGAAGGCAGCTGTCTGCAAGCCAGGGAAAGAGATCCCACCAGAAACCAAGTTCACAGCATCTTGACCCTGGGTCCCTAGCCTCCAGAAGGGAAACTAAATAAACGTCTGTTATTTAGGCTACTCAGTCCGTGATATTTTGTTATGCAGCCCGAGCAGACTAATACAGCATGTGCCAGGACTTACTCTAAGCACTTTACATATATGAAGTCCTCTCAATAACCCCAAAGCAGAGACATTATCATGATTTCCACTGTGTAGATGAAGTGCAATAACTTGGACAGGGTCACACAGTCCGTGGCAGAGCTGTGGGTTTTGGCTGCAGAATGTGTTATCTTAACCAAGATAAAGGTATGTTTGCCTCCCTAATCTCCTGTTTGGCACATCTGGGTTTAAGTCCATCTGAAGTCTGCCTGCCCCACATTACTCATTCCCTAGCTGCAGGCTTGAGCCAGAGTGGTTTGCCAGGAGGAGAAACCCCAGTGACGTCACTGTTGCTCTCTCAAAAGTAGAGGAGACATCAAAAAGGAAAACAGACACCAAAAAAAGAAGGAGCCAACAAGGATGCTTGATAGAAACAGCACAGCCAAAGGGGAAGTGATGTCCCTGGTTTCTGGCCAGGTGGAGAGATCCCACATTTCTGGAAGGCTCGGGCACTCCAACTGCCCTCCTGCCAGGATGCTCACTGTTGGTGCGGATTTCCTTACCGTATTCACTGCCCCCCATAGAGGTGCTGAGGATAGTCTCATTTTCTCTGTTGTTGAACGTGTAGCAATTCCCATACATTGGATGGTGGAAAAGCGTGAAGTTTCTATAAGGAAGAATACGGGTCAGAAAGAGCTTTGGTGGGAGCTCCCCTCATGCATCTGAGCTAAAGGCTGGATGGGAAGGGCTTACAGGGCCAACTTTCTTTTGTGGACAACAGATAATAGACATGACTTACTTTCTCCACTTTCTGTCTAATAAACCACAAGCAAAGCCCCTCACCCCGGCTGCCACACGTTAATGTAGGACTACTCTCTGCTTTGTTCCCCCATCTTAATCCTCCCAGCTCTGTCTCCATCCCAGTGTGACTCTCGTTGTGCCCTATGTCTACCCCAAATTCCTCTACTCATGAATTTCTCATCCAACACTTGACATTTTTCCATTCCAACACCAGGAAATGATCCCAGGAGAAGGAACCACATCACGTGTGTCCTTACACTGACTTTAGAACCTAATGCTTAGGCAGATATGATTCCAATCACTCAGTTTCATAAAGATCAATGTATCTACTAACAGATAGAAAGGCTTAGTGTTTAAAAAGAATGAAGATAGGCAGGAACACTCTAGAATGTCCCATCACTGCTCAGTCACCACCAGGGATCTGAGTGTTATCTTAAAGGCAGAAAAGTTTGAGAGCTCACCCATCTATACATAGACCTTTCTTTCTCTTTCTTTCCTACCTCTCTTTCCTTCATTTCTTCCTCTGTGCTTGATCAGTGGTTCTCAATTGTTGGTGTGCACGATGGTAGCATGCAAGGTTATACATATACCATCAACCCCTCTGTTTTTATGAGTAACTTAATGAGTTCAAAGATACTTTGACTCTATGCCATCTCTATCTTCCTCAGTGACTCCAGAGCCTAGATCCCACGTAAGCTGTTTTCTAAAGGGCAGGGTCAGCGAGAAGAGCATCTTTCACTCCCAAGCCCCACAGCTGAGCTGCAGGTGCAGGCAAGGGACTCGGAGCTCAGAGCCACCAGTCCTCAGAGCTAAGAGGGCAGCCTCCTCTCCTGACCTGGCATCACAGGACATGCCATCAAAGAAGCAGGTAACCAGCAGCTCCTCAGCAGAGTAGCTCATGTTGATTTTCTTCTCCAGAGGGACCTGTGCCATGATGTTCATGTAGTGCAGCTTATACCACTCCTGGATGGCATTGACCCCTGAGCTGAAGGTGTAGACGGCACATTTGGACGTGTCATTTGAACACTGTGAATAAGAGGAGACAGTAGGCTGAAGCCACTGGCACTACCACTGGCCTTGAGAAGGACGGTAAGGATGAGGACCTAGGACTCTAGACCGGAACAGGAGGGACACCTGAAGCAAGGATGGGCTTCCTCTTACTTCCAAGGGCTGAGAGAGGATCAGCCTCAGGGACCTGGAAGGGTCTGAGAGAAGGACACAGAATCCCACTTGTCATGGCTCCCTGTGACTGCTTACCGGGTAAGAAGAAAAACCGGCTCCTGTAGGGTCTCCAGATATCCAGGCTTTGGTTGATTATTGCTATTGACTTCCTACCCACCTCTAGCCATTTCCTACTGGATCAGCAGTCTAGAAATCTGGATCCTCACCCAGACTTCAACATGATATTTCCGCGGGATCTTGGGCAAGGCATGACATCTCCATTATTTCACCTACCAAATGTTAACTAAAATGCCATCCTTAGCTGGGATGACCAGCATTTAAAATATGTAATAATTAGAGCCTTAGAGGGAGACTGTAGTATGTTCCAGATGTTCTCATCACACTGGGTTTGGAATCTCTCTCAAAAGGACAGGCATTGAAGGATTGATTTTGCTATCAAGGATAGCCGAGAGAGTATCTTGTGAAAAGACCCAGGAAGACTTTGAAAAGTCTTGATGATTAAGGGAAAGGGCCATTTCTCCAGGATTTGTAACTGGTGCTCCAAGGTCTCACAACTGGCAAGCCAAGTATAAGGTACAGAAGAGAGGTCTCATCCTAGAGAGATGCCTGGGGCATGGCGAGGTAGCGTAATTGATTGCCTTTGCCCAGGACACTAATGGAATTCGATTTTGGTGACTGGCTGCTTCCTTAGAGCCCCTTAAATGGGACTGAGAAGGAGAGAGGAAAAGTCAGGCCACAGCACCTCACAAAGGCAAGTACTGCAGGGAACATTGGGTGTTTCTGTTGTTTATTACCTATTTTCTTCCTTCTGGTATCTGTACCCTAATTTTGCTTTTGTGGAACGTCCTTCCCCCTGTTGGATACAGTCTGATGAGACTGTCCATCATGACACCTCACCCTCTGTTAGGTGACCCGACTCAAACTTGGCCAATCAGATAGTCGCAAGATGGGATCTGAATCCGTCTTTATGGATGGATTAACAAAAAGCCTGAAAATCGTGAAAGCTTATTGAATCCAGCAGCCATATCTGAAATGACCTTTCACCATTTCTTGCCACCTAGATCCCTGGGCCTTCCCTAATTTCTGTCCTTTGACAGGCCTCCATGATCTTCTGATTCCTTTCTAAGACTTTTTTTTTTTTTCTGCTTAATATTACCTGAATCAGTTTTAGTTGCTTGCAGAATTTTCACCCTTAACTGGGTGTATTTCTTTGAGTGGGACCATAGAGACAATGGCAAAGGAGAAACCTTCGTGGACCCACCATCTCTAGCCCATCCCATGGCCCCCAGCTGTGAGGACATGCATCTCACCAGTTGGAATCCCACCACCTCCTTGGACTCGTGGACATGCATGACATCTGATGCCTTGTGAATGATGCTCCCACTGACTTTCCGCTTCCGCCCTGTGAGGAAGTCCCTGGCCTTGCTGGTCTCATCCTGACTGAAAGCCAGCAGTGGGACCAGTTTGAGGAATTTGGGCCGTGTGCCCTCCCAAGCCGAGGTCCAAGACTCCGCCTCTCGGCGTTTTCGAGACTTATTCTCTGGAAAGCCGTACAGGTTCTTCAAGGCCGTTCTAGTCTCCTGTTCCAAATCGGCTAGAAGGTCCCGCACTGCACTGTACCTGCCAAAGGGGGAAGGAGGAGTCAGGGAGAGGGGAGCTCCACTGACAGAGTGCTGGTACCTCTTCCCTCTGTTTCCCATCAGTATATGTCGGCCTTGAGCCCACTTCTCCCCCGCTTCCTTGGCCAAGGAGGCCTTTTATGATTTGCCCCATCCAAAGTGACTCTTGGCTTGAAAAGTGATGACAGGCTCCCGTGTGACCCTTGTGTGACTTCTCATGGCTTCGTTTATGCCACTACCATCTGCTTGCTCTTGGGGTGTGTTGGTAAGTTTGCCCCGACCAGCATTTCTGGAGTGGTGACTGTCAGGTGCCTCCCATAAACCAGCCACGGTGAGGACAATTACAGTGAGGACAGTAACTGCTAACTGGAAGTGGGTCCAGGGGACCAGCTCTGTCTCCACCTAGCACACTTGCCCCTGCACACTGACTCTTCTCCAATCAGTCCTGGGACAGAAAAGGTAACACTATCACCTCAATAACCCCCAGAAACAAGAATGATACAGGAATTGACCGCATGAAGCACAGCGCCATCTTCAAATCTCCATAATACGAAGTAGTCCTGGCCTCCCTCCCAACTGCTCCCCTCTCTCCTCTCTCTGCCCCTTGCTCCCTGCATAGACGACACAGCATCATGATTGAGGGTGTAAACTCCAGAGTCAAACTACCTGGGGTCCAGTTCCCCATCCTGGTTCCGGATATGGGACTTGGATAAGTCACCTAGCCTTTTTGTGTCCAGTTTTCTCATCTGTAAAATGAGATCACTGGAAAGATTCAATGAGTTTATCGTATGTGTGTGTAAACAGTGACTATTAATTTTATTAGCATAATTATATTTGCCAATATTTCACTCCTGCACTACAACTCAACTCCCCTAGGACCGAGACTGTGTTGGGTTGTTCAGTTCTTTGCCCCAGACTCGAGCACAGTGCATGCCAACTTGTAGACACTGAGTAAATGATTATGGTGCAAGTGATAGATGGAAGAAAGGGAGGGAGGGACAAAAAGACTCTGAGGTGGAGAATGAGGCTTAGACCTGATTTTGATTTTGACCAGTTAGTTTCCTTTGACACTCTTCCTCCCTTGCTCCTCCCTTCTCCCCATGCCCACACCTGCTCAGACAAATTCTGCCAGATTCTGACCTGCCTCACAGATCAGTTTTCAATAATCCTGAGCACAGCTCCAGTGACCCATTTAGAACAGGCCCTGTGGCAGACAATAGGGCAGTACCAATGGCTGATCCTGCGCAGAGCCCAGTGATCTCAATTAGTGGGGCTGGATTCACTCAAATGAGGGTTGGGGCAGCTGAGACGCTTCCGGAAGTCACTTGGGTGTCACTTCTGAGTCAGCCTCCAGCTCATGTTTCGGGGACAGTGAGGGTGTGAGTTTAGAGGGCTCAGGGGGAAATGGCTAAGCTAGGCTGTGTGTGCCTATACATACATACCTGTGCGTGTGTGCGTGCGCACGTGCCTGGGGTGGGAGGCTTTGCTAGCACATTCCAGTCCCCACCCCCCAGTGAAACTGACCCTTGCAGACTCCCACTCCTGCACAGCTTGAGCTAGTCCAGCCCCAGAAGCAGCTGATAGATTGACAACTTGGGACAGATTTAGAACCTGGGGGAGGGAGTTTACCAATGTTGGCAGCAAATTCAGATTTCTAAAAAGCCTCCCTGTGGGCTGGCACATGTCATCTTTGAGTGGGGCTCTGGCCTCCGAGGGGGGCCCGGCCCCCACTCCATATCCTTGCTCCTGCCGCTTACTTGTAAGGGTTGATGTTGCAGATGGTGACGGCAGGAAAATCCAGCTTCTGGAAGTGGACCTTGATGGAGACGGAGACGGTGTAGAAGGAGGAGATGAGGAGGGCACAATGCCAGAAAATGAGGGCCACGGCCGTCAGCGTGAAGAGAACCCAGAGCAGGCGCCGCAGGCGGCCGCGGGACACCACGATGCGGCGGCAGCCGTGGGTGTTGGTGTTGAGGCAGTACCACCGCATCAGCTCTTTTATGGTAGGCGCTTGGGGCCCCGTCACAGGTAGATTCTTCTTGATTTTGGCTTTGATCTTCTCTCCAGGAGCCATGATGAGGATGGGACTTGAGGGCCAGGCAAGCTGGAGGGGCAGAGAAGAAAAGTGGGTGACCTCACACTCCCTAGCCTCCAGGGACAGGGCAGACTCTGGCGAAACACCAGCCCACATGCCCTCAGAGGCCATCTTCCTTTTTCCCTCTGTGGGCTGGACAGCCTGCATTCTGAGACCCCGGCCCCCTTTCCAGGATATGTGGGTTTTTGGCCACTGCAGCTGCAACAAGGGCTGCTTCCTCCTTGTGCAGCCCCCAGACCCAGCCGTGTGGGGGCTGGGTGGGGTTTAACCCATGAATCACTGGTTTGAAGGACCTTTCCCCTGGGTGCCTGGAGCAGGAGCCCTCCACACCTCAGCCTCTGCACCTCTCTTATCACGCTCTGCCCTATCTAGAATATGGCCACCTGCACCTTATCGCTTCCTCCCACCTGGCCCCCTGGAGGGCAGCATTCCTATCTCACCTACCCCTGGTGCCTAGCTCAGTATCTGGCACTGAGCAAGTACCCCACCAACATTTTCTGACAGATGCAATCTGTCAAGAGAATTTCTCGGGAGCCAACTTGGATCCTGTTCGGTCCACTCCTAGCCGTGTTTTCCAGGCTTTTCCCCTCCACTTTCCCTGCAAGTGGGGTTTCTGTTTCGTTTCTGTTTAACTTCTTCTCTTTACAGTCAAGCATTTGGTGTTTCTAGAGAACCTTATAAACAATAGCCCACAACTATTGGCCACTTAATATTTGCCAGGTACAATGCCCTATTTCCTTGATTCTAAAGTATCACTAATTGGGGGAATACACTGTGACAAGATAACAGCTTTGTTTGGGGGAAAGTGTTGGAAAACAAACTATCACATTCATCAGTGTACATGATGCATTTCACTTACAGAAACTTCACAACATGGAATAACATTATTTTTAGAAATGAACTAATATATGTGTATTGTGTATTCTATACATTATATACATAAAGAAAGAGTCACCTCATGGTTATATAAAGTTTCATCAGTCTCATAAATATATAAAGTCTCTCTATATACATAAAATCCACATAGATTTCATTTTGTGTTTCAACAACCACTACTGTCACCTTCGTGTTATAGAGGAGGAGAATGAGCCCAGAGAGGTGGGGTCATTTGTGCAAGACCACACAGCTACTCAGTGGAAGGACTGGATTAGAACCTTGCAGCCTTCACCACCATGGTATAGGCTTTTGAGGGGCCTGGTATTGTGCTCCTCCCCAAAGAAGTACTATTTTTGAAGGGTACTGTCTCTTCCCCAAAGAAGAAGGAAAGAGAAGGGATCCTGTGCTATTTATTTATTTTTATTTTTTGATGTTTATTTATTTTTGAGAGAGAGAGAGAGAGAGAGAGAGAGAGAGAAAGTGGGGGAGGGGCAGAGAGAGGGAGACACAGAATCCGAAGCAGGCTCCAGGCTCTGAACTGTCTGCACCGAGCCAGCTGCAAGGCTTGAACTAACAAACCACAAGATCTTGACTTGATCTGAAGTCAAATGCTTAGCCGACTGAGCCACCCAGGTGCCCCGGGATCCTGTGCTGTTTAATTTCCAAACTCTAGATAGTCAGTGTCACCACCTCCCAACAGTTGTGAGCACTGGTAAGGGGGAGGGAAGGTATATGGAAATTCGTCCCTCTTTTTTTTTTTTTTTAAGTTTATTTACTTATTTTGAGAGACAGAGACAGAGTGTGAGAGAGAGCACAAGACAGAGAGAGGGAGAATCACAAGCAGGCTGGGCTGTGCAGTCAGCACAGAGCCCGACTCAGGGCTCAATCCCACAAACCGTGAGATCATGACCTGAGATGAAATCAAGAGTTGGACTTCTAACCAACTGAGCCACCTACGCACCCCAGGAAACTCTATGCCTTCTACACCTGCCGTTGGTGACAGAGGCAGAGTAGGGAATACCTTAATATGGAGTAGGATATGCGAGGTGGTCCCCATGCCCTCAGAGGGCCTGTGTCTGGGCTTTAGTTTGTCCCATCGAGTTCTTCAGGCAGGATTCTGCACTTCAGGAGTTCCTTTTTGTCCACCCTGACCCCGTGAGATATTGTCCAAAATTTGGAAGCTGGGGCAAAGCTGGGAGGCTTTCAAGTTTATGATGCTCGTGGGTTACAGGTTTATGATGTAAAGAAAATAAGAGGGCTGGGGGGGGGGGGGGGGGGCGAGCCGGAGGTTCCCAAGGGCGGGCCCCCCCCCCCCCCCCCCCCCCCCCCCCCCCCCCCCAGAAGAGTGGGGGGGGGGGGGGCGGCGGAGG